AGAGTTACATGGTTGTACTTTTGCATTGGAAATAGACAAACTTAGTGGAAGGAGGATTTTTGCTAGCAAATATTTTCATCTTCATCATCTATTGGCCTACACTTCAGGAAGTGTAAATCACCATCTGTCAGTCTGTAAATACCATTTAATGTGTTTTCATCATGGTACTGAGTGGGCATCTAGTTCCTACATGGGACTGGACAAATAGATGACCTATGCTTAAGTTGTTACGGAAGGATTGACTCGTAATTTTCCACATGAAATACATAACAGAGATAATTTAATAAATATTTTCTGCTGTTGGTTTATCCATGGTAGTTTCAATTTCTAGTTTCTAATGTCACAAATCATCAGTGTTCATTTTAAGAGCTACCTAAAACCAGAATCTCAGATTTGGCGGAAGAAACATTGATATTTTTTCTACCTACTTAAATGTGGTAAATTCTTCTAGCTAATTTGCCTGTTGTCAACATTTGTAAATATTTAGGGTTTTGTAGTCTTTTCTTCAAAGGCATCATTTTACGTTGCTGCTCTTTTTACTTTGTTAATTCACCTTCCAGTCCTTTTGTATCCACCTGCCTTTCTCAAGAGCTTTTCTGAGCAGTGTGTGCTTTCTGCTGTATTGGAGCTGACCTTGGGCTTCCAGGTGTTTTTACTCCTATGCCAAGAACTCACACTAGGTCTTTTTTTTTTTGTATCAGAAATCAAACTCAGGACCTTGTGCTTGTGCTACTGAGCTATATCCCCTGCCCTCATGCTAGGTCTTAACTCAGTGTTTAAATATTTTGTGACAGGAAAGCTTGGGTCAGTTGTGTGAATCTGCTCTGACAGGGCCTCAGTTTTTCTTTCTTTTTTGATAATGTTCTCATCTTACCTCTCATTTTGGTCTCATAGATTCTGCTTGTTGCCTCACTAGATCTCTTGCAAACAACTGTTGCAGAAAGGTTTCCATAGACATAGGCAGAGACCAGAGGCTCCAGGGAGACGAGCGAGGAGGGGCTGGCTGAGAGTACAGATTACAGAGCCTGTGTTTGGTTCTGCTCCACCCGTTATGGCCCAGACTCCAGAATAGTTGACTAACTCTGCTTGAGTTTTCTCTTGTGTCCTGGACACCTTTGGAGGGTAAATTGAGTCACTGTGTGCATAGAACTTAAAACAGTGCTTGGCACACAGGGAAGGGGAAGTACATAGTAGTGAGGGAGATAGCCTGAGTACTTGTGGGTAAGCTGTGGGTTCTGCAGATGAGTCCACAATTATCCATTCACCTTCATGACCAAGTTCTTCTTTTTTTTTTTTTTTTTTTGAGACAGGGTCTCACTATGCCATTCAGGCTGGCCTTGAGCTCACTTTGTAGCCCAGGCTGGTCTTGAACTTGCAATGATCCTCCTGC